ACACACACACACACACACACACACACACACACACACACACACACAGACGTACGGACATCATCGTAAAAATAGTCAGGGAAGCTTCCTGTGACCTTCAAACGTCGAGGAAAATCTGGAAAATGGTTGACCCTAAAGGCCATCCTTGCAACTTCCGCTAATTCCATATCTAAGCGCTTAAAATTGCACTTATGAGGTTATTGAGCTCTTCAGGTCAAAAGTCTGATAATAGTTTCATAGAACACTATTTTTTGAAATAGCTCGGAGAGCTCAAAATGACACAAAACTCATATTTTTGAGCTTGAAGAGCTCAAAAACGTAATGTGTAATTTTGAGCGCTTAAGGTAGTACTACCGGTTTTAGATTTGACGTTCAGAATTTAATGAAATTTGTCATATTGGTACTTTATAATATAATTAAGCAGTAAAATTTTTGGAAGCCGAGCAAGTCCTGAAAAAAAAAGATATTAATATTTACATATTTTTGCTTTTACCATTGATCCTTATGGAGAATCATAGACTTTATTTTATTTCACAAAACTGGACGTTGAGATTCTTATAAAAATCAACACAACGAGAGGAAATAACATCTAGAACATATTTAGTAACAATCAGTATGGTTTCCAAGAATATGAGAATATTTATTAATAAAAAACATTCAAAATTTATCTCTGTCTCTCTTTCTCCAACGTAATTTAGTATAGGGAAATCAACTACGTTAATCAAATAAGGTTAGGTTTTGGGATTTGACACTTGTGGTAACGGTAGTACTACCTTAAATACAAAATAAGTGGGAAGTTGCAGGGATGGCCTTTAGGGTCAACCGTCGTTCTAATTTTTTTACTTTATTTCAAGTTGTTGACACCACTTATCGTTCTATCAACATGGAAATAATTTGAAATTTGAGATTAAGAAATATTAATGTGCAAAAATTTGTATGTAAACAAGTATTCGAAGGAACAAAAAAAAATTGATATTCTCATCTCATTATTTCTGGTTTTTATTGAAAATTAATATTTGTTTGAGTTATTTGGCGTTAAAAACTGTAATTGAAGTGAAGAAACGGTCAAAATATGTCGTGCGTTAAAAAAATAAGAAATTATATCATGACGTGAGTACTTAAATGAAAGGTCTCGATAAGTATAACATTGGAATGAGCTTATATCTTTGAAAATAATTAAGAAATTACATTGTATCCTGTCAACTAATGATATTTTTAAAGATATATAAGCTCATCTCGATATTAAACTCATCGAGACCTTTTATTTGAGTACTCACATGGATTTTATATATTTCACAAATACTATGTATATTTATGACTAATTAGTACTGATGGTATCTATGTATTACTATCTTGTATTGTAAATATTAATATCTAATATTATAACAATTATAATTAGGGGAACCTGGGGCACGAAGGCCCCCTGGGGCACGACGGCCCCCCTCAAAAATTAAGTAAAATTTTTTTTTTTCAATTTCCCTCAAGTTATGATCTCTATGATGTTTTTATGATATTTTGGACCAATAAGTGATATGTGGGGCATAATGGACCACTCGAGAAAAAAATTGTAACGAAAAAAATTTTTTTTTTTTTCAAATTGTGATAAATTTGTGGTAAAATGAATTTGAAAAAATTTAATTAAACTAAAAAATTTAACAAAAGATTGAATCATACCGGGAGAGGTACACGACGGTCTCTGGCATAACGGCCCCTCTCATAAATTAGGTAAAAATTTTTTTTTTCCATTTTCTGTCAAGTTATGGCCTCTATGATGTTTTTATGATATTTCAGGGCAATATGTAATATATGGGGTATAATGG